ATATATAATATATCATACTGTATATTAATGACGAGAAGAATGTTTTACAAAAGGTTCCTTTAGACTGAATTGTGTAATGAAAATAACGGAAAACGGATCTCTCTATACTCTTCTGAAGTTTTCCTGCTATGAATAATATTTTGCTCCATCTACTCCAGTTTTCTTCCTTTCATCTACTTGACACCAAGTTAGAAACAGAAAATCATCAAGAGTCTGGTTTAGGCTACTGCCAAATGGGAGTCACTACTACATTTTTATATCCATGTGTAAAACTACCCTCAAAACTTCCAGTTAAAAAAAACCAACAATGTAAGGAGCTTTGGAGCAGAATTTTGAAAAAAATAAATATGTGTATTGTGTCTTCCCCTCTCTCTATGTGTAGATCTCTGTATCTTTGCTACAGGTACTCTTGACTCTGAAATCCTGCCTGAACAGTGCTGAGGAAAGAGAAAACTGTAAAAATCTAGCACTGACTTTATTTTTATTACATTTCCAAACACAACATAAACACTGATGTGAGAGATTACTTGGAGCAACAGAACTTGTAAAGACCTGCTCAGAGCATGTGTTTGATGTTATCTCTTTGTAGTTATAAATATTGCCTTTTTGTTCCAGGGAAACCTGAATGAGCTGGGCAAGCTTTTAATGCAAGGATCCTTCAGTGTCTGGACTGATCATAAAAAGGGTCACTCCAAGGTGAAAGATTTGGCACGCTTCAAGCCAATGCAGCGACACCTCTTCCTCCATGAGAAAGCAGTGCTGTTCTGTAAAAAGCGAGAAGAAAACGGAGAGGGATATGAGAAAGCACCTTCTTACAGCTACAAACACTCCTTAAATGTAAGATACCGAGCAGTCCAGTAAGGTTGAGGTACTGAGGGTTTATCCTGCAGTAATACCATGTTCTAGTTTTTTGTCAGTGAAGATGTCTTATAGTTTTGCACTGGGAACTTCACCTTTTTGGGCAAACCTAACTGGTGCTGCAGGTCTGGGTCACTTTGCGTTGCTGTCTGTTAGAGAGTCAGGGTAGGGGGAAATTATCCTTTGAGAAAATCCAAGCCATACTAGTCTAGCTGAACGGCAGTTGCATTGATCACACAGAAAAAGTAATACTGAGTAGAGGAGGGTAATATAAATAGATGTAAGATTTGGTGGTCTGGATTTTGAGACATCTTGTGGGTCAGTCTCAATTTTTAATGTACCTAAACCTTTCTTCCCTCCGAGGTAGCCAAGATGACACAAAACACTAAATGTCTTGCATCCAACATGCAGATTGTGTTATTAGTTTTCTTATCCTTGAGCAAGAAGCCAAATGTGGTTTTCCTTTTCAGAAATAGGGTAGCAAAAAATACCAGTAGCCACCCGCTTCCATTGTTATTGTAATCACAATTTGGTAGGTCAGCTTCTGTTCTCTTTGCTTCCAGATGGCAGCAGTTGGAATAACAGAAAATGTCAAAGGTGATGCAAAAAAATTTGAAATCTGGTATAATGCAAGGGAAGAAGTCTACATCATACAGGTAAATAACATGCCACTACATTTAAAAAAAAAAAAAAAGAAGGCAGGGAGGAAGTCTAACCCTAAAAAGATCTGGAGGTTTTTTCTTCTATCACTAATAGACAATGATCAGGAAATGTAGAAAAAAGGGAAAAGAAAAAAAAAAAAAAGCCAAACCACCACTAGATTAATTCATAAGGTAGTTTCTTAATATATTTTCAATTGCAGAGTCTTCTGGGAAAAAATAATTACATTTTACAACATGGAGGATATTGTGTACACAGTTACTATTACTCTCACTGGAGTAGTGGATGGCTTGGAGCTGGGGTTTAACTGTAGCACATGCACAGCCTCTGCCTCAGCATGTTCCCGTTGTCACAAGTTTCTGTTCACTGAAGGACTAGAGAGGGAGCTCTGTCTGTCCCTTTGCAAGATTCCTCTGAGGCTGTGCTTTGGCATGCAACTCTGTGTAATAAGTATGCCATGCTTGATGGCTGATTGTATTTATTTTTGGGTAGGCACCAACCCCTGAAGTTAAAGCTACTTGGGTAAATGAAATAAGAAAAGTGCTGACGAGTCAACTGCAGGCATGCAGAGGTAAAATATTTTGGATATATATGGGGTTTTAATCTCTTTTCTCTTTGAACTTCAAAACCTGCCCTGTATATCTTCATTGTGTAGGACTGTAGAAATGAAAAGTGCAAAACACAAATCAGTGTTAATAGTTCTTTGTCTTTCCTCCATTACAGAAGCTAGTCAGCACAGAACACTAGAACAAACACAGAGTTTACCTCTACCAGCATCATCTTGTACAAGGTAAGTAAATATGTTGTCAAATCAGCCTGGCTGTCTTGTAAATATATTAATACATCCAGTTTGTAGTTCTTCATTACTCCTACCCCTGAATACTGGCCCTTATGTTTTAGAGGTTTTTTAGGTCTCTTCCTACTAAGAAGCTGTAAAGCTTGGAGTTTATACATCTCCAGAACTGTTAAACTGAGCAGCAGTGCCATGAGCTTTGCCAGCTGATAGAGAACAAAACAGAGAAGTCATTTTCTAAGCCAGCCGAAGTCCTGGTGGTATTATGGGTCTGTTTGTTGAACAGCTAATTAAATACTTTACACCCCAGATAAAAGAGTTATGTGGAACAGCCTTTTCCCTCCTTCTCTGTTCTTTTTCTTCCCCTGAATTTTTTTTTTGTCCTTTTCCAATGTCATGTTATCTTCTTTTTTGTCTTTTTCAGGGCATTATCTTTTCTGTCCCTTGTTCTTTTCCTCCAATTTACTTTTTTTTATTTGCTTTTAAACTAAGTGATATGTTGATTCCACCAGTGTTCTTGCTTGAGTCAAGCTTTTCTTCTTTTCCTATTTTTTATCCTTTACCCTACCAACCTATATGTTCTGCTTCCACCTGCTGTTCTGCTCTTCTCCAACACCTCTTTTTAACCCTCTGCTACTCACTCTTTTTTTCATAATATGTGTATATACCCATAAGCCCATGTGTTCATATCTTCAGTCATTCCCACACGGTGTGTGCTCAAATGTGTATCAGTAGCTCTCTGCCCTGCATGTTTTATGCATCTACTTATCACTCAGGGAGAATTTCCCACATGTATAGTATTTGTGGGTTGTCTTTCTCCATTCTGTTCCCAATTGGAGGTGTGATGGGAATCCAGCTGCAAGATCCAAACTATGTTCTTTGTTCATCCCTCATCTGTTCCTGTGTTAAGAGCTTCTGAGGGACAGAGTATATTCCTTTTTTTTTTCTTTTTTTTTCCTTAGTACGACAGCACAGAATGTGTGCCTGTAGCTGAGAGTGAGTGGCAGTTGTCCTGAGCTGTCTTTTGAGTAACTTCTACTGCCATAGTACATGTGGTTGTAGTCAGTTAGGGGACTCTCTCTCCTTTGTGTGTGCTCATGGTCTTTCTATGCACAGTCACCAATGACTTCTTCAATCCTACAAGGTATGATCTGGGAAGTAGCTACAAAATGGTTTTCAGCCTATATATCTGTATGTAAAAGAAAACCCGTGACTGAAGATCATCCCTTTTCAGACATAAATTTACTGGCGATGGATTGATTGTCTTAATTTTCTTCCAATAAACAGTCCTTCACGAAATCACATCAGAAACACAAAAAAAATGGAGGATAGAAAAGCTGATCTTGCAAGTCTAGAAGGTTATGGCACCACAGTAGCACCAAAGTACCCTGAGAAAGGCAAAGGTGAGTTTACATGTATGTATTGTTATCTTTAATTGTGAAGAGCATGCCTGCACTGCAGATGCACAGGCAGATCCACCAGCAGAGTAGCCACAGTAGTGCAGGAAAACGCAGCATTACACCTGAACGAGCAGAGCTTTGCCGGTTGCAGCCCTAAGGCAGCCCACCCCCAAAGTGCTGCCCACACTGCACCTGCGTGCCGGTCCCACCTGCCCTTAGCTTGGGGTTTCTGCATTCCACTGTGTGGTGTGGACAGGCCTAAACCCACCTCGAATGAAGGACAGCCAAAAGGAGGTGGGAACTATGTGTTATGAGGCCTGAGTCTGCAGTAGGTCTTCTCTTAGAGCTGCCCAGCTTGTCAGGGTTTTCTTCCTCTGGATAAATTTCTCAGCATTACCTGTTCTGAAGAGTTTTGTTGTTTTGTTTTGCTTTTTCTCTTTAATTTTGGTTCCCATCATGGAGATTATTTGCTGAACCAGTGGCAGCACAAGGCCCTGCACAGTGAGAACAACTGACCACTTGGGTTCTTCTGTTGTACCTGGACTTTCAGTTGTCCTTTCTCATCCTAACATGCAGGTTCCCTGGCAGGGCTGCAAACTATTTTTTGCCTTGATCTTTTCATGGCCTTGTCCCCTTTCTTTCTGTGTCTTTCTCTTCCTTTGTAGATGACACTAGCTCTGCTTCAGAGTGCTCTATACTGTCAAAAAAGCGCTTTACACTGCAGGGCTTTACTAACCTCAAAAGTCAGAAAGGTAATTTAAAAAAAAAAAAAAAGCTAGACTGTTTTCTGTTTAAGGCTGTAATTGAAGCATCACGTTGTATGTGTGTGTAGTGTAACAGGTTTTTAGTGTATGCGCTACCTTGTTCTCCTAAGTTCAAGCCAGGTTCCTGAGGCACTGACCCTGACAGGGAGAAAGCAGCTCCAGAGCGGGAGGGGGAGATGCAGCTGAGAAAAGTGGAGGTGTTGGAGATGCAAGGGGAAGACTGCAGTTTCCAATGCCTCCAGTCTCACTATCAAGGCCAAGGAAGGAGTTTATAGCACCCCATTCCTGTAGGAAAACTAGAGGAAGGAAATTGTCTTCATATCAGACACTTGGCCTGCTTCTAGCTTCAGTGGATCTGCCCCGAATGCACTTGTACTTGGCAAAAAGGAATCAAGGTTTTCTAGAGTATTTCTATATTAGCGTCCTTGCTAATGGAACTCCCAAAGCATGACTGCAGCAGAATGTGTATGACAGAGTTCTTTTGCTGGATACAAAAATAAATAAGAATTTCCCTATGCTTCCAGAAGTGGTCTTTACTTTTTTTTCCAAAAACAGGCAATAGGAGTCTGAGACCTTTCTTGCTTCCTCCTGCCAAGTAATCGCACTGTTACATTCACTTCTTGCTTTGAACGGCTGTCTTTGAACAGTCTGAACTGCATTAAGTTGATGGCCCTTGCTCAAGAGCATGAGTTTTTTTTCCCCCCCAAGCATCTTTTCAGAATGCCTCTTTAAAACCTGATTACCTTTGAGTTCTTTCTGGAGAGACTCTGAGACTCTAGGGTTGTGTATCTAATGCTAATGAGGTGAGCACTAATATCCCATGCTTGCCTTGACAGAAACTCCATCTCCTTCTGCTAAAAGCCAGACATTGCCAATGATCCTTCTTACAGGACCAGGTATTGCTGTAGCACTAGATTTATATAAAAATTATTGCTTTGTTTGGTAATGTTTGTCTAAAATTGAAATTAATTGTATTCAGTTGATGTCTAGTTCATTTAGAAAACTTTACATACACTTTCACCTATTGCTGTAAAATAAATTTGCCAATTTATCTTCAAATAACTACATGTAAATAATTAATTCCTTCTACTGTAATTGACCAATGACAGCTAAAACTAGAGTGATTACAGAAATCCACTTGTTTCCCAGTGTAAACTCAAAGGTATTTAGCATGCAATCCACCTATTCTCTTTTTTCCAGTTCTTCAATATCTCTCTTCTGTGTTTTTTGCCTATTCATCCTCCTGCAGCTTCTCCTACCAGTCCTGACAAAAAAGCTAAACGGCATGAAGTAGTGAGTGACCCAACTCCTTTTGGTTTAAGAGGTATAGTGATACCACATCTTGTACTCCACGAATATCCACACATACCTCGTGTAATATGTTACATCAAGCTCTGGGGATACTTATATGATGCTGTTGTGTGCAGCAGTACTGATATCAGCTGAGTTTTTCCAAGTGGGTCTGTCAGCTTTTGTATATACTGCTTTTGATGGCACAACTGGTTGAAGTTTTACTTTGGCATGAAATGAAGTAGCATATGGCTAACTAGTTTTTAGGAGAGGGCAGCGGGAAAAGGATCTTGTGCTGAAGAAATAAGCAGAAGCTGGGTGTTTAATGGAATTACAGGGGAGTCCAGCTGCTATGCAACACATGGTTTTGCAGTTAGCATCCTCCTGTCACTGTGCCCCTTGTGGAGAGGATTTAACCTTTTAAAAAGGAAAAAAAAAAAATCTGAAACATATGCACTCCAGTCAGAGTGGGGATCATCACTGTCATGTGGAATTTCCATTTTAGATCTGTATTTTTTACTGTAGTCACAGGCCTGTTGCATCTGTCTTTGGGTGATAATAGGCAAGTTTCCAACCCTATGAATCCCAGATAATTTAACTGAACCCCTTGTAGCAGTTTGCCTCCTGTCCTCCCCAACCCACAGCTAAGGAAAGAACAGAAAAGCATAAATGACCCCTTTCTAACCAGCGAGACTGTTGGTGAAGGCTTGAGTACAAATCCGTAGGGCTAGCTAACTAGAGAGTACAAGCAGAGCAGTCCCTCTCTTCCTGGCTTTTTCCACCACCATCTCTTAGAAAATATTACCCTAAAGATGAAGCTGTTTCAAGCCTCCTTTGATGATGCAGTTTCATCATCCTCCTGTCCAGGTTTCCACAGCCTTTGTCTTTGCTCACACATGGAAACGATGCAGGTTCAGCTGCTGTGCTGGGGAAACTATGCAACACCATACACCTTGTCTTTCCTGACACCTTATCTCTTCTCCTTCACCAACTCAAAGAGGAATAAGCAGGCAGTTGACCTGCGCCTTTCAGGACGAAACTGCACCAGGTGATGGTCACAGCTCCCCAGTGCAGAGCACGTTGCCTCCACTCATTTCCTTTCACGGCTACATCGCTTCGACTTACATCGCAGTGAGCTCAAGGAAAATTAATTGGTGACAGAATCACATCTTGCAGATAGATCCTATCTCTGTGAAGAAACCTGTGGGCCCATATCTGAAGAGAAGCAGTTAATGAATTCTTGCTTTTCCTGGCACCATCAAATCTAAAGTCATTTCTGCACAACCATGTCTTTTCTCAAGATTGCCTACTATTTTCTTACCTTTCCTGCCTTTATAGGGAGCTCTGATTTAGTCACGCCGAGCAGAATACACACATGCGCGTTGAATGTGCATGCATAATTTTGGTGCCTGTAGTTAGCTAATACAAATATGACCACGGTGGCTACTTCCCCTCCCCACCCAGGATCAGATGGGCTTTTATATGGACTTGTTAATAGTAGAGTGCCAGCTTCTATGAGCAGTAGGAGTGCTGTTGCTACGGCAGGATCAGGCAGGTCTGCCCTTACCCACATCAGCACAATATAGGAAAAGAAAGAGGCTGTGGAACAAGAGCAGTTACCCAAAATGTTCCAGATGAGCAGGACAATGAATATGATGCTACAGGCAGCGCAATTACAGTGTTTTAACTTTTTCTTTTGTGCAACTCATTGATTCTTTTTCTAATGAGAGCTTGGAACAATTAGGAGAAACCAAGTTTTCTTCTATTGCATTGTTCTTAGCTTGGAAATAACAGAAAGCGTTTCAGCTGTGTCCCACGAGCCAACTATAAGATGTGAGCTTCCAAGGAAATTTGTATGGAATACAGCAGGAAGATGGAAGTTCATTCTTAACCCTGGACAGGGTCAAATGGGTCAGTACCTCTAACCTTGTGCAGGTCATCCGTCAGCGCAGGCGAGGTAAAAGTCCCGGTCCGTTTGGTGTGCTCTGGGTGTGATTTCTTTCTACGATTCTCAGATTGCTTTGGCTTTACTCTGACAGTGCTCAGACTTTTCCTTAATGCACTGGTATGACCAGCCATGTGACAAATGCCTTAGAAGCAGTGAAGAGCAAAAATGCCAGTGTTTCTCAACTTAACTAATAGTTACATAAAAGTTGGGAGGTTTGTTCTTCCTTTCATTCTTTTCATTGAGTTTCATTGTTGTTACCCTTTGGCTTGAACCAAAACCTTACAAATATTTACTTGTCTTTTATCATAACTTTTATTTCGTTATAAGCTCAACACATTTATTAACAGCTGCTGACCTCAGTGAAAAGCTTCCCACTAGTAAAACTTACTGTAGTTTTATTTGGAAAAGGATTTTGTGCACTCTGGATATGATTCAGCCTCATAAATAAAGGAAATGCTTCACCCTGAGAGAGAAAAAGAAACGCTTGACAATAAATGACAGGCAGGGGATTGTGCTTGTGGTGTTTGGTGCAATGACTTAACACCAAGATGTCATCATGATTAAGTAATCCTTGTGCCTAAATACCCTTAAATAATAAGCTGCCTCATGAGGTGAAGTACAGAGTGCCTGTAGCTTGTGCTGAATTTCTTGACAGCTCTTAAGTGCTCAACAGTTTGAACAAAGCTATGTGCATCCATCCCGTGTTCCAGCAGGCTGGTTAGGTTGCTTTGGGTGACAACCCCGTGCATTCATCTATATCATAGACTGCATGTTCCTGTCTTCTACCTCCTCCCCAGAAAATCCATCGTCCATCTATAGAAGAGAAAAAATAGCTTCTTTTTATTTGGGAATTTGCATTCTTTCCATCTGTTTCCCGCTGTATAAATCCAAAGGGCTAAATTCACTGCTGTGCATTGCCACAATTCCACTTTGATGGAAACAGGCCAACTTTTGCCAGCTGTGAATTTGACCTAGTGGCTGTAGTAACTTCACCGTGTACAGTTTTCCTGCTGTTTGTGCTGGTCACTTAACAGCTTATCAGCA